TTCCACTGAACTCTTTACATCTATGATCCGATACGTATGCATTTAGACGTGCAACCCGAAGACGAATAAAAATAATGACAAGTAACTTAACGCTTTGCCGCGCGATTTTTCCCTGATTAGCATTGTTATTTATGGCGTTAGTAAATTTCCCGTAAATGTTAAATATTCATAAGCGGAAAATAGAATTTGCGAATCGAATAATATTCGTATTTATTAAATTTAACGCGAAGTCCCAGCCACGAGTCCGACTCGATATTACAAGAGCTTAATTTATAACACGCGTAAATAAGACACAATTTTCGCTGTTCAGAAACATCATTATCTCGCTAAAACAATAAATTTTTCAGTAATTAAATAAAAAATTTAAGAAAATACACGAATATGGACGAGTTTCTGAGTGTCCCCTGTTAACCCCTTGTCTTATCACGCTATTTGTGAAAGCTCTTCTCCTTCAATTACTAATATTAAAAATGAATAGAAATTCATATCATTACCAACATTGTAATATAAGTATTTAATTAATCCAAGAACAATTTCATAAAAGCCATCTTTTCTCGATAGTTCAGAAACATTAGTTGCTCAAAAGTTTCAACGTTTTTTTACAAGAAATAAAGACAAAAGTTCTCAATAATACATTGGCCAAACCAAAACTAAGTAAAAACGAAGAAAGAAGTGTCCCATATACACGTTATAGTTTAAAAACAGATGTTATTCCGAAGGAAAAAACCTTTTTGTTAACCACGTATAAAAATCGTGAAAATGTTTACGTCAACCCAACACAAAGTCCTGGTACGTTTAGTGTTAAGTGACATCATCAAAAAAAAAGAACAAATCAACCAGATACGAAGTAAAGGCTTTTTCCTTCCACCAAGGTTACCGCAAAGTTCACCGAGAGTGGGGATAGAAGACGGATTTAGCGGAATCACGTCTTTTTCCATCGAGCATCGACGCCGACTATTCCGGGGTAAGCTTTCGACAGCAAAGCGGCGAGGCAACGAGTAAAAAGGGCGGGCAAGCGGGCACACGAGGAGAACGGCGACGGCGGGGGGCTGGTGGGGGGTAATTAGAATAATTCGGGCCGCTGTGGTTCACGCCACACGGGCGAATTTGCATTTTAAATGAAGCAATGGCGTGTCAGAGGCCCCCGGTATGCCGCGCCTGCCCCGGGAGAGCGGCAGAGAACTTTGTGTTTTATAAGGAACTTTAATATTTATCGCGTATATTCAAACCGAATAAGCGTACCACTCGCTCGCTCGCTCGCTCGCTTGCTTGCTCGCGCGCGCAGAATATATACGCTGAGCAGGTATTTATGCACATGTATGTATAATCCGCGGCTGCCTTCTTTGGGCGCAGTCACGGGCGCGTTCGATCGTTTTCATGCCTGCATTCTTCCTTTCTTCTTTCGCCCGTCTGGCGCGGATGAGAGGCTCCCGGCCAGGCAGCCGCGAGACCCCTAACGGTGGATCGTTATCGCGTAATTAGCGCCGCGAGATTTTCGTGTTATGTCATTGACACGCATACGGAGTTGGCGATGATACCCCACGGTGGTTACCTGGCCGCTATCAGGACCTTAGGAGCCGGCGCGGTGCTCTGGGTTAGGGGGTAGCGGGAATTTCTGTTCTTTAATCCTTTGCGGCACGATGTTTAACACTAGGTTTACAGAACGCGGCAACTTAACGCATACTAAATTTTATTTTTGTCGGTTTCGGTTGATGAAGTTATACGAATATGTATTCTAACTGTCTATTTTCGAATTCCTAATTTCTAAGAACTAAACGAATGAAAATCAATTATTCTAGGAACAATAGATTAAATCGTACAATAAACGTTCTTTAATCTGGGGCTGAATTGAGTGAACATTTAACACTAGAACTATCATAAAAATAATGGGTTTCAGTTTTCTTATTTTATAGTTATTGATGTCTTAAGGATGTTAAATATCCGAAACGATTTTAAAAAGTTTAAAGAAATTGTCTTAGATACTGTCACAAATGCATGAAGAAATTGGAAAAAAATCGATTGTTACAATTTCTATAAGTATTACATGTTGATTATATTAAATGCTCGATAGTTCTAGTGTTAAATAAAATGGACATTTAACCGTTTACACTACAGCTTGATTTTATATAGATATTTAACCGTTTAGAGTTCGATGGCAACTCTCAGTAACTACTTGATTTTATATATAAAATCGTGTCATTTAGTACGTAATGTTAAGCTTCGCTCGTTAATCTATGTATGACTTCTCATTAAACTACTTCCAAAACATTTCGTCCATGTCTTATGATTTTTATTAACATTGATTTCAATTGAACAATTGATTGAAGCCTAGAATAAAAGTTCGTCAATCTAGACTTACAGCTGATCTTTTCTACAACGGAAAGAGGAAGAAGTATTCTTCTGTTTAACCCCTTGCGATTGGTGCCGCTACAGTTGTGGCATTTAAAACTTGCCTTCAAAGTTGATGTCATCGCTATGGCGGTACGATTTCTTTGATTTATAATTTTTTGCGCGTGTTACATTATAATTAATACCATACTTTGGAAAATTACAACATTTTTGCATGAGTTTATTAATTTAAAAATAAAAAACGATGAAAAAGTGGATATTCGAAGGAATTTGACACGATTACTAACATAAAGGTTAATCTTTTGCAGTCCAGAGCGACCTTGCATTCGTCACGTGATTTAATGTAGCAAAATTATAAAATTCGATGTTCAGTCACATGTTTTGTGAAATGTACTGATGTATAAAATATTTAAAGAAAGAAAAATATATTGCATTTAATAAAGTACTGTAATTAAATAGACTATTACCCAAATGAATGCTTGTTGCGAATGTGTTTATCTTTTGTACTGACTGCAAGATTGGAATCGGTAGAAATTAATCATTGTGATGGAAAAACTATTGCAGGAATTTCTTGTTGATACTGATGAAGTAAGAATTAACCCCTTGCCTTGTAATATCGTGCAAGATTTGCGAAAGCAATTTAAAATTGACTTCAATAAATGAAGTATTATTTATTTTAAACTAGTCTTATGACATGATATTAATAAATATTAATTAAATGAATAAATAAACAAAGTGAATTACAGATGAACTTTATTGATACCAAATAATATAATCACCCCTTCCTTTGCAACGTCAATCCTCAATTAACATTGCTTTAAAAGAAACATTATTTTACACTCGTAAATATTAAATCTTTATACAGTTGCATTCATTTGCCTCTAAAAATCCAACATAACTTTTTCTGAAAAACACGCTCATCGCACCAAAACCTCTCAGTCAAACATCAAACATCAAAAATCAAACATCAAATTGAATATCACTCAAATAAAAAAAAAGAAACAAAATATCCACATACCTGTTGATTTTCTCCGCAGCAAGGCAAAACTCCTCAGCAACCAGAGCGTATCCGGAAGAACCCCAGTCTTCGATCGCCGCTTTCCTCACCGACGCGGAAGGAGTCTCGTCCCCGTTGGTCTTCTTTGTCTAATCTTCCACCCGGCAATCGACGGGCGTCGCAATTTCCGTGACACGTTCGTTCATCCTCGACACTTCGAACCGCGTATCGATGCCGGGGCACAGGAAGCCGATTCCGCTTTCACGGGAAAGGGGGGAATACGCGGGTATACGTGTCTTTTCACGCAGGAAGAAGGAGAAACTCGACTCTATAATGATACACCTACGGCCACGGAGAGTTTCTCTGTCCTCGTGTCGTGCGGGTACCGGTCGCCGCTGTCAAAAGTCTGCCGTCGTTCGATTGTTCCTCTAATGACACGCGATCAGCGCGACTCGGTCCGTGGGACGCGCGGCAAATGTCATCCTCCAGGTTAGGCGGTCGGTACCCGTCAAATCGCTTCCTTCCTGCGGGGAGGGCTCATGTTTTCACACTCCGACTTCCGGTAACTCAGTTCCTCTATCGATGGTCCTTCAAATACCACCCTGAAACCCTGAATCCTCCAACCCTCCAACAGTCAGTTCGTACACTTCATACAACGAATACCATTCTAACGTTCACAGAAGCTAATCCCAGTCTATTCCACCGTTAGCAAAGTTTCCAAATGTCATTCAAAAACTGAACGTCAACACTGTCCGGTCACGATCAGCCCGACAGGACTTTCTGTCGCGTGACACTTCGCCCCGGTTACAGAGCCGGCTCCTCGGAATTCCCGTTTATCTTATCATCGATCGACGAAAGCCCGGTCAGCGAGTATCCCGTTCTTCGTGGATCCGCGGATCAATCGGCGGATCCCCCGACGGACCCGTTTCGTGTGCGGGTTCGACTCGACGGCGGCGCGCCGGTTGCCGGAGCTCCAGTGGGTGCCCGCTCGGTCGTCTCCGCTTCGGCGTGTCTTCTCGGACCTCCTCCAGGCCCTAGGCACCTCGTGCGCGCGTGCAGCTACTCCTGGTAGCCGTCGGAGTGGCAGGTCCGCGCGACGAGGGCGACCGCGCTG